TATATATAAACAGGCATCAGATAAGTGATTCATTCAGCCACTGAAGAGCTCAATCAAGAAACTCAGAGGCCATATGAACTTTAGAAACTCCACTCAACTGCAGCTCAAACATTATTTTACAGTATCATGCATTATCAATCCCAACACACCTGATGAAAAATTGTTTGGTGACATGACAAAAGGAAGATTATTCTATTCTGGATTCTTTCTTCATACCTCAAACCTTTTCTATGTCAGAAGTCTCAATATGTACAGATAACTTTAAGCTACGGGGCTGGCAAGATTTGAAAATTAATTGACTGGATGATTTGCCTTAATTAGTGTGCATGATATAGCTCTACTAAACACATGAAACAACATCCCAACTCACTGTGTAAGTGATCACTGCCAACATGCCGATCAAGGTCAAGGAGCTGATGGAGAAAGACAGAGCAGGTAGACCATCTGCAAACAGAAAAACAGGAGAGTCATTAGAGATTTGACCTTGACCTCAGAGAGAAATCTCAACACACCCCTTGCCACATGTACAACTATCAATAGCTGACTCTCTTGCGTGCACTTTGATGACATTTAGGTCAACTGTTTGTCTTTCAAACTTAACACTCACTGCTGGAATAGTTCCAGCATTCACACACTATTGCAGCAGCTGTATGAACTAAGTAAATCTTCATCTAAATTTCTTTGAATATTCTACAAATGCTTCTAAAGATATGATTACCACACTCTTGTAGACAATCCAATGGGAACATTTCATAAATCTAAGATGGCATAATCTAGTTTGCTCTAAATCCTAAAAAAAACTGTGCAAGGTATTATAATTCAAAAGAAACAGGAATGCTGTACTTTGGTGGGTTTGGTGAGACAAAATAAATTATGTAATACACACCATAGTTACCATACTTAAGCTGTTACACAGGCAGTTACCAAAGCAGATGCAAATACAAATTAGCAAGTTAATGACATTAATACCCAGTCAGCTAGCATTTGTGATGGGAAACAATTCAATGCGACAGTTCTAATAAAGGCAGACAGTCAAAATGTTTAACTGATTAATATTCTAAACTACTAAAAAACATATCTAGGGAAGTCTGTGGATCTGAAGTTTTTTTTTTTTTTAAGTCTGAGGAAATAATCTTAATAATGTCTTAGTAGCCTGGGCCTGGAGACTTCACATTTTAATAGAAAAACTACATCACAAACTGGCAATAGATTTTGAAACTAATGGAAATTACCAGGTAAAGGAAGGTGTGCGAAGATGCATTTGGACCATTACAGAAATTATCCAAGCCATTATTTTAGGAACTGGAACCATAGTGACTGAAAGCTAGAGTACCTTGGCATCTGTTGCTTTTATTTTGATTATTATTCTTTTAATTCAATCTTTCACAAGTCTCCTAAACTTATGGATGCGCAATGCTAAATGCCTCTTTAAAACAGGGGCAGAGATCGTAAAACCCCTTCAAAGACAATAATGATACCACATAGCTTTTTTATTTGTGTGAACTGATCCATTTCACTGTCTTGGAGGTTATTAGCAAATCCTAGGGGGTGTTTGCATCCCCTAAAACAAGAATAACATGAGTCCAAATGAAATAAATTTTAACTGATAGTTTTGCCTCATAGCCTAGTAAATACCAAGAAGACAGCCCATCTTGAATGCAGGATATAGTCTCTGTGATAATGTTCTTAATACAATTCGGGAAATTAATTTCATTGAAGGGAACAGGAAAGGATGATATGCTCAAGGACAAGGACTATCTTTCATGTTGGTATTTTGGTACTCCTGAATTTAATCTCTACTTTAATGAATATGCTGTCATTGACATTTTTAAGATAAGATAAGATGAACCTATATTAGTTCCACAACGGGGAAATTCACAAGGCTACACCAGCAAGGGGACAGAAACAAGGCACTCAGTGGTAAAAGTACAAAAAAAACCCCAGGATATTATCTATATAAAAAATATAATAACAATAATAATAATAATAATAATAAACTAATATTTACATGTAATTGGGTCTACTGGGAGCAATGCTGGTTGTGCAGTCTGACAGCAGCAGGAAGGAAGGACCTGTGATAACGGTCCGTCATGTACTTAGGAGGAAGCAGTCTGTCACTACAGAGCTGCCCAGTGCTGTCAAAGTCTCATGCATGGGATGGGAGTCACCCACCACCCGCACTGGGTCAAGAGGATGCTCCCAGGACAGAGGTAGCCCTCTTGATCAGTTTGTCTAATCACTTCCTGTCCACGGTCAAGATGCTGCTGCCCCAGCAGACCACTCCATAAAAGATGACTGATGCCACTACTGTATCAAATGTCCTCTGGAGTTTCGTACATTCATATAATTATCACAGTCAATGTTGAAACATTTGGATCTTTCAAAGAAGGCAGGTTAATTTGACGTGTGTCACCACTGATTGAGGTAGTAAGGGGACCACCAATCAGGCAAAGGGAACAGTTGGTGTCAGACCAGCTGTCAGAGCTGGCGTTAGAAGACAGCGATTGATGAAGAGACTGATTGCCTCTCTCCCCTGTCAAGATCCCACCTGTCGTACAGTTCTATGTAAAAAGCTACACAGCTGTCCCTTTACAGATATCCCACATCCTCTCACCAGCAACTTCACAGTGCCCAGACCACCATACAGTCATAGGTGGATCTCTGCTTGTTTTTCTCATTGACACTAATATTTGACTGGGAATATTATGTCAGTATTGAGGGCATGTATAATTTGTGCTGTTTATAACAAATCACTTTCTTTTGGAGGCTCTCCACTAAATGCAAGACAAAGAGGTGGAAAATGGAGATAAATTATATACCTGCTCCTTATTGTACTGCATGTAAAAAGAAAACTTGGAAGTCTGACAGCTGGGCTGAACATTAACATCTGAATACATGTTTCGTATTCCTGGGTGTTTCATTGCAATTTTGCTGCCTCTGTTTTGTGGTGAGCTTGGCAGAATAGAAAATAGCTCCATGTTCTGTATGGAGAACATTCTGTTCATGAACTCTACACAAAGCCAAGGGTAGATGTTTGCTGCCACTCTCACTGGTTTCTCAAGCAGATTTACTGGGATTAAACAGAGGGAATACAGTCTATTATCAGTGGTGCTTCCGCATCTCTACAGCTTGAATTATGATTATAGTGAAATGAATGTATACCAGTGGCAGCTTTAGAGAAAGGGGGGAATAAAAACATCATGCATTGGTCTCTGGTCAGCAGTGATGCAAGTTACAGTATACTATGCATGGTTAGTTACACTGTAAACGCATGGCAACAAACAAAAACACTTCTTTGATCATTTAACATGCATCATTTTTTCTTCCTTGTTTTATCAATCCATATTTTTTTTTCCTCTTTTAAATAAATTATTTCATTTTCTAAACTCCATCATAATAGCACCAGGACCCTGACAATCAGTCTGCCCCAGTCAAAGATAGGTTGAACTCATTACACATATTCACAGAAGTAAAATTTCAAATTTGTTGTGACTGGACAGCAATAACCAACAGCCTACCACAAGTATCACAATTTCCTAAAGAGACATTTATGGCTAGAAATTCAAAATATTTTGCTCTAGACACAGAATTAACAAGAGAGGAAAACACCTGTCACAATGAAATGCATTGAATCCTTCAAGTGCAATGGAATGATCATCTATCTTATCAGTTAGCCAAGTCTCTGAAAGCACAAGAATATCAACATTTGTTTGTTGAACCCACACTTTAACAAAGACCATCTAAAATTTGCTCCCTATTGTGCCTTAAGAGACCTTTAGACTTAATAACCACCAAAATGGCCAGGTAACAGAACGAAGATAACAGGGAGAAGCAGGAGAGAGTGGATGGGAGCAATAGATGTGGCCATGAATGTGGCCATGAAAGTGGGAGTAACAAATACGACTAATGAAGGTGAACAGTTGAATGAATGATGTTAGGTTTAAAAACAAGTAAAAAAAAAATAAAATATGACAGGCATGATAAAAATAATACAAAGAAGACAAGTTGGAAATAACAGGAATTATTCTCTAAAACGGCTATACTTACGACTACTTCCAAGCTCCTCAAACAGATACTGTACTTTCTCCCACTGAGTGGAATTCTGGCTAGGTGGAGCCTCAAGTGGAACAAAGGCTCTAAAAGCAAAGAAACAATGATTTAGTAGAATTAAAGTAAGGTCACAGTACTTCACTGTTGCCAATGAACAATATGCTTACATTTGTATGGGAATTTATGGTTTTAGGAAGTAGTGTATTTTCTCACACAGACTTCACACATAAAAGAAAATAAAGAAAAGACATTTTTAAATAATTCAAAAGCAGACAAACATGCAAAAAGCTACCAGTGTAATTGCTGTAGCTGAAAGACAGCAAGACAGCCAGAGAAAGAACGACAGACTGATACAAGGGCTGTTGGAAAACAATGACAATACAGATTGAAAGTTTCTGAAAACAATCTTAAAGCATGCTGTTAAAAGTGGTGGTGTTCCAATTTTAATTCTGGGTTAACATCTGTATCCCACTACAAATACTGTACCTTTTATGTAATGCTCAGACAAAAATAGGATAAAGCAAATCTCAACCCAGCTGAACAACTATGGGAGATTTTGGAAGGCATTTTTAGACATTCTGTGCATGTGTCTAAGGGTCTGTGTCAACTATGGGTGTTCAATTTCTGTGTAGACTTTGATTTCATTGATCATGAAATCTTTTTCCATTAATCATCAATCCTTCCTGACAGGCAACAGAAGGACTACTACTCTATTTTGGGCTGTTTCCATTAGGGGTGGCCACAGTGAATCCGATTCGCATGATTAAATGTGGCACATTCTTTTTTTTTTTTTTTTTTAAACACCAGATGCCCTTCCTGACACAACCCTCTCTATCCGGGCTTGGGACCAGCACAGAAGTCACTGACGTGAAACTCCTGTGGCTAGATAGAGGCAACAGAAGGAAATAGGCTAAATTCCTTCTTGGTGCCCAACACCTCAAATGAAGTAAAATTAAAAATGTGCTCTATGAATCTACAGGGATTTTATGGAAGTTACATTCATGGGTATGTGAAAAATATTAGATCAGCATCTCAGAAATTCCTCTTTGCCTCATATGCAAAAAAAAAAAAAAGATCAGGTCTCAGAAGGCCTCATCTGCCCCACTACCATGAAGATATCCCCAAGGGTCCATACTTGCACTTTATCTTTTTCATGTACCTCCTTTTGGTCATGTTGTGTAATTTTTCATCTGAAGCAAAAACACCTCATCAAAGTGGCATTAACCCTTAACAAACTCTTCACAACTGTGTGCAGTACGGGTGTAACTTCCCCAGTCTGAAACAACATTTTCTTCAAATGAGAAACAAGGAACATTTCTGAGTTATCAATGTAATCATCTTAAATAGTGATTAGGATTTGTTTTTCTTGTTTTACTCCATTGTCCATGACCTCCTTTCATTTGGATACCAACTAAAACGTAAAGTATTTTGAAATTCTGGTAGCAATGAGTGCTATAACACCACATTAAAAACAGAGGTCTAAAATATTCCAGGGATTCACATATTCTCATTCTCTGAAAGAGCTTGAATTGAATTGTCTTAGTCTCAAATCAAAATTTCAATAAACATGACTAGGCAATTTAGATTACGGAGCTCTCATACAGTCTGCATCAATATTCTTTAGACAAAAAACTGGTCTTGAGGACTGAATGTGAGATGGATATGTTGGTTGCTGTGGCACTTTAAAAAAATCTTGTAGCAGTGACAGATCAGGGGTCATTCTAGGAGTCAAAAGTTACCACCAGTTATAAAGACAACAATCAAAAGCCTTGGAACATCAACAGTCACCAAACAAAGCCATTATGTCTTCTGGTTTCACAAAAGCAGTCTGAAATAAAAGCTATCATGTTGTTGAAAATCAAAGGACCAAAGAAACAATTGCCAGAACAAAGCAGCAACAGTCCAAGTTCATGGGGTAAGAGAGGGGCTAAATTGCTTCTTTCTATAAAATAAGTCCTAACTTTTAAACTTTAAGACATAGGAAAGTAGAGCCATATGTCCTTTATTTTCCCAAAACAGGTACGCCTTTCTTCAGTGCACCGTTTAATGGTTGAGAGAGCACGTTAAATCTTAAAGTTTGAACTCCAGGCATGGTGCTGTCACAACTGCAAAGGAAATCTATTATGTTGTGCAGGGGCTACTTAACTCAACCAGTATAAAACTTAAAGTTAAATGGGACATGGCTGAGAATGTGCATTAGTATAGATTTGTAGATACAAAATAGAATGTCATAAAATAAACTTAATATTACTTCCACGTGTGCTTTGTACACAGGGCAAATGTAAAGAATCTAGTTGATCAGCTGGTTTTAAATTTAATGAAAGATCTGTAGACAAGAGGAAATATGCCATGCCTAGAAGAGGTATACAAGTTTTTTTCTTGTATGACTCATCACTGCCAGACATGTGGTACTATAGCTGTTTGAATGGGTCCTCCTCTGATTAACTGAACATGATATGGACTGAGGTAGAAGAAGCCATCAGCATCTCCAACTTACCCAATTAAAAGGAGCACCATGCAGACAATGACAAATCCAACTGTGTACTTCAGAGCATTTTTCACTTGCTGTAATGAAAGAAAAAATTGGCCAATCATGGCCCAAAAGTGAAATATTATTACCCCTTGAGTGAGAGAACAGGGTCATACTCTATTTAACTTAATGATAGTGAGTGAGAGCTACAGCGTAGATCCAATTTGACCTAGCAGAAATAACACGTCACTCCTAGTGCTATTCAAGGTGCTTTTAAATAACAATACAAAATACCTCCTTATCTGTGAGAGAAAGTGCCTCTGTCAGCTCAAAGGCTGGACAATGTATTTATTTTCACTACCAAAAAAGCATCATAAAATTCATTTTCAACAGGCTATTTTTCCTTACATTTGATAAGACAAACTAGCTAATGTAGGCCGTTATTGTAAACACAATATTACCTGTATCTCCAAATAAAATATTTGGCAAGCATTTTTTTTGTTTTACATTTTGAAACCCACATTTTATTTACAGCAATGCTCTTCTCATGTTTTGCATCACATTATCTCCACTACTGCTCTTTGCAGTCAGCAGAAAGGTGTATTATGTCACTTCTGTGATCATGGTGAGCACATGTGTCCTGTTAGGCAATGATGGCAGAATGCAAGAACACAAAGCACTGCTCAACAGCACCCTAGGTGGTCAAAAAAATCTATATAGTAGGACATAAATATACAATACAAAATAAAACCGGTCAGTAGTAGGACTTGACAGAGCACACAGTTGCTATTATGAAAAAGAAAACTCACACACAGACACAATCAATGTTTATTTTCTCCCTGAGAATTCACTAAGTATACTGACAGGAACAGTTGGATGGGCAAACAGCTCTGTTTGTTGCTTGTTAATGCTGCTTATTTTGTTATATTACACAGCCTTATGCTGGTTTACTGTTTACTTGCCCCTTGCATGGGGATATGTACATACACATTGAGAGCCAATTTACCAGAGTCAAATTCCTTGTGTGTCCGACAGACCTGGCCAATAAAGCAGATTCTGACTCTGAAATTCCTTCAGGACATTTTTGTATGTTGGCCAGCCTCAGCTGAATCACCTGAATAAAATCTGAATTCCTCAGCACCATCTAAGAAGGCTACATTGCTATGTGTAGAAGAAGAAAGGTGCATTCTTACAGAGCATTTGTTCACGTTGTCGTCATCCCTTTCTTCATAGTAGAAATAAACAAAGGGGATCCATAGGAAGACACAGAATAGTATGATGGAGTAAAGTGCTGCATGGAATACAAAAGAAGAAGAGAAAGCCAAATATTAGTCACTTGTGTCAAATACTGCCAAAACTGATTATCCACTGATTATCCATTCTTCACATACAAGTGTGACAAACCTGAAATATTAAACCCTGCAATGTATTTTGAGTCCAGGAAGTCATAATAAATTACATGTTTTGAACAATGGCGTTATTAATTTCACTCAACATCCATTAAGAAATCAAGCACCACTTTACAGAGCTTCATATAGTATAAATTTAAAAAATTTCTTAATTGGTTGGTCAAGCACAATGCTGTATCCCTGTATACAAAGCTAAAATGTGACATGAGAGTAAACTAAGTACATATAACAAAAATACTACATGTGATTCTTTTACTTCCTGGTCATTTTTTGTGTTCTGTTAAAATTTCTACGATGCCCTCTATCGGTGGTGGCTGAACTTCCATTCACACACTTGTTTCAAACATGAACAGGTCTGCAAAAGATCCCATTAAGTTAGAGAAGAGATCAACAGATCAAGGACAGTAGCAGTGGCTTGTTCCACTTAACATTCATTCCAACATTATCACCATAGGCCCCTCAAAAATCTTAGCAATTCTGTCTTCCTGACTGGCAAAATTAAAAACTGGAAAAATAAAATTAAGGTTGTTTTTACCTTGATCTGTTAAATTGTACATACATTAATGCTATCAGCTAAAAAGTTAGATATTGATTGTTTGATAGAGACATTTACAACTGCCTCTTCAGCATCACTCAAGTCTGACCAGAGTGTGATAGTGGTTGTTTAATTTATTATCAGGATAGTACATTTCTGGTATGTATTCTAGTGCTCAACCCCCTTTATTTGTTAAACATTACCAGCTAACAAAGGTTTAAAACAATGTCAGATTATGGTTTCTTTTATTTATCACAGATTGAATAATTCAGTTAACTGTGCTATGGTTCATCTTGAGACAATATGTGGACTAAAGTCACACCACAACAAACGTTAACAGTTACATTATAGACGTCTTTATGCGGGTACTTTGTGATGAGTGTCGTTAATTCCCTTGGTGCATTTTGAGTAAACTAAAAAGAGACTGCGATCCAGAGTGTTGAATAGCTTATTTGTATCATCTGTATTTAAACAGACTGTTCCTTTGCCATTGTGGTGCACTGAACACTGATTTGGAGAAAACTCACAAACCAGGCAATCACCAGTTCCATTTTAATGATGACCACCGCTATAAGCAAGAGCCATCTGCATCAGAAAATGACTTCAATACTACATCTGACAACCTTCTGTATGAAATGGATGAAATGCACCCATCCTTGGTGAAAGAAGTCACTACGCTTTCATCCAAGCCTTTTTTGCTTGTTTGGTTCTTCCTGTATAAGCACCTTTTTAGAGAAGAGTCCAACACTCAAATGCATTAGGAATTCAAAGAGTGGAGGTAAAGCAAACAGTTAAACAAAGAGATGCTATTTCAAGCATGATGCTTTTATTTCTCCATCAAATGGATGTCAGTGAAGACAGCCCAGACAAGCCCAAAACAACACTAAAAAAGCATGTCCCAAAGACCTGCCCAGGTTGGCATGCCTCCTTGAGGCAATAATGTGAGTCATTAGCACACATTGTATTGTGATGCCAACTAAAAGAAATCTGCAGCAAGACAAACAGTTAACTACAAGCCCATCAATTTCTCTTTTCCCCTACATGTTAAATAGAAGTTTTATAAAGTGGTAGTGCTTTTTATTTTTGAGTTAAGTGTTAATTTAAAGCGACCAAAATAAAACTAAATGAAAACCCAGAGTTTACATTTACCCAGAGTGGTTAAGAGATTCAGGTTTGTACATTAGAAACAACTAAATACATGCCTTAAGCAGTGCTTTTATACCACCATAAACTACATAACTGTAGATGTGATTGCTGAGTGGAAAATAATGTTTGGGGGGGAAAGTGGGATCAAATAGAAAGCTTGATCCTGACAACCATTTAATCCATAACATCAGTCAAAAATCCACGACCTCAAGCTAGTATAAACATGCCCCCCCTATGAAATGTACTATATTTCACAAAATACTCTCTCTGCTGCAGACAAATGAATGTCACTTTTATAGTGTCTTGCTTTTTGCCAGCTGTGATTGTGACAGGGCATTACTTTCAATACACACGTGTTCATTGCTCTGCTAAGGTATCCATTTACACTCATTTACAGCCAGACAAACTGAGTTTAGGATGATGCCAGGAACCAATAAATATAAGACATGCACAGCATGCAGCCTCTGGCATATGCTTGTGGGTTAAAGCAATGGGTAAAATTAATCATAACACCATGAATATTAACATACTGAGAGAATAGTCAGACTGTATTACCATGCATCATCCATTATTCTCTAGGCAGATCTTCTACTGGGAAGAACACCTGATCAGGGATAAAGGTTTAGCACATTTATTCCCCTGACTGAGAGTACAGGACTAAATGTCCTTCTTTAACCCTTTCCATTATTCTTGTGCTCATACACCAGTTTACCCATAAGGGGAGTATATATAAAATATTTGTTTTTGTTTGCTTGTTTTGGAGGACTGGTGGGAGATGTGGCTAAAGAAGCCTAAAAGCAAGTCATATTTGCCTATTTATTTATTTTTATTTGTTTATTTTGCAGGGAAACAAGCAATTAAACGCCGTCACGGTCAACTAATGCAGTGCATATGTGGTGTCTATCTAAGAACTAAACTTGTTTTTCGCATTTAAATAACTATGTGTCAATTTACAACAATTATAACTGTGATCAATGACCATTCATAGCAATAACGGTAGTTTCAATCGAGCATTATGTCAGGCTTAATGAGAAGCATTAGACCCTTGCCCTCACTTTGCTGTGGCCCTTTACAGGACATTAGCCCCTTACAGACAGGAAAAATATATTACAATCCATGTGACAATTAAATGTCAGGTGAGAACTCTCTCAGAAACAGTCTCTGACAAAAGACTCATGAGATTGCTGAAAATTCCTATAAACATCAAGTGAGGCACCTTATTGGATTTAAAACGGATTTTTGATTTTTTAAATTTTTTTTATTAGATAACACAAAGAATTTCCAATTCAATGTCTGTGCTGCTCTGCTTCTCCAGGACATGTGAGCCAACATATGTTTGCTATCATACAAGACAAAAGATTTTGATAAGCTGATGAAGTATCAAGGCTCACTGTAGTAAGTCTGTAACAGTCATTCTTCAAACCACTCATTGCAGTTTTAAGGTCAATTTTCCACTTAGAAAATGAAAAAAATATTACATTTGATATAGTCATTTCTTATTGTGCTCACTTTAAAACACACCATAACAATTTTTATAAAAACGTCTCCAATCAGAAAACAACCATTAAAAAGCAGGGCTGAAACAACACTTTCATACACTGACCTGTACATGAGTATGTGCGCGTGGGTTAAATAATTATTTTGATGTCAAATGGTCAATTCAAGGTGTAACACTACTTGCTAAAGGTGAAGCGAAGCTGTGCATAACCTTTGTAATGGCAAAGTCATATATAGAGAGTAACAGTAATAAAACAAACATTTGGACAGCTCAACACTGTCAAGACAAACATGGTGGATAAAGAAAGGAAGCTTGCTTTACTTGGCCAACTCCTTCTGTCTAACACTGCCTGTAAGGTTCAGATATTTTTTTTTAAAAACCGGATAGCATAACTATTATAATTGAAGATACACTCAGAGATGCTGTAAAAAAAAAGATCTGAGAGAAGATTATTTCAATATTTAAAGAATAAGAACTTAAAAAATGCAAATATATCTTTCATATTTTAACAGCACATTCGCATTGACATGGTTCTCGAACTACTACACTCGCTTGTTTTGACCACCATTTGAGTGGCTTCATATTTTACCATTTTGTTTCACTTCACAACTCGACAGGAAGGTTTCCTGGTTGAAAAGAAGCCACTATACTCCCAGCAGGACAAATGAACTCTATAGGGCTCCTTTTTACAGGAAGTAAGGCAAATTAACTTTAGAGCAGCCTTGAAGAACATGAGCAGTGTGCTTAAATGGAAGAACATCTTTATGTACCACATTATCAGATGGCTCCTGAGGCACTAGACTGAAAACAGGAGACTAAAGATTCTTAAGAAAGGCTGACTTCTAACATTCACACATGGTAACAACTCTTTGTATCAGTGACATCCAAATTGAGCAGAGAGGGATGTGTGCATTTCTGTTTTTTGACTGGGTTTTTTTCAAATTAATAATTAAATTAACTATTATTGAGGGTAATGTAAAATGAATACATATAAGAAAATAAACTGACTGTATTCAGCATACATTTCTATTTGTCTTGTTTTATTATTGAATCTATGCTCAGTCATGGGAATGTTTACCATGAAGCGATAATAAACAACACTGGGCTGAACACGAGGCAAAAAATGGCTTTTTGGGAGCATAATGGTCATTGAAACACCTATTAATGTGTTTACCCCCTTATGCAAGTGAAGGCTCTTGTGAGGTGATTAGAAAAACCATTAAAATACATTACAGAACTGCCAAAGATGGGATTGAGATTGTTTAGTAACAATACAGCAAAATTTTGTCAAAGTTCTTTGATAACCAAATTTAAAAGATCCTTATGAAATATGCCAATGTAAAAAAAAACAGAAAATAAAATACTGTTTTAATGTGATATTAAAGGAGCTCGTTATGATTATATTGGAGGCGTTTATCTCTGAAAGGTAACTGCAGGCTTTAGAATTTATTAATAGCCTAAATGTCTGAATTCCCGTTTTGAATATTTCAAAGTATACAAAGGTAGAAGTGAAGAGTTATGAATTGGGATTTTTGAACAAAGAGGCCAAAAAAGTGCCTTTTGTTTCTTATGAATGTATTATTTTAATTGCTGAAGACCCCCTGTATCACACAAAGCTGTCATCCATAAATAAACTGCGGTTTGTCAGTGTTTTCTGATTTCTCTTCAAAGGAGCACTAGGCTATCACTTTCCGATGAAATTCAGTCAACATGTAGGTGAACAAGCAAAGCCCATACTTGCAGTTTATTTACAAGACAGCTGCATCCTCTATAAAGTCTGTCTAACAAATGGCATTTTAAAAAAAGCAGAGAACATGCCAATGATTTATTTAAAAGGCCCAGGAGTATTTTGCCCTGTTACTTAAGGGTTTTATGCAACATTGCTTTGATGTACTGAGTAGTCCAACGAAATGTATAAATGGACAGAGGCTGAAGATTGAAAGGTTAGCCTTTCAATCTTAGGGTTCATCAAAGATCACAAAAAGCTTTCTGGGCTCTGAAAGGAAGTGGGTGTTTCAGTTACACACATTCATCCCCTATGTCACGGTGAAGTTACATTTTATCTAATTGCTACATACAGTACAATAAATACCATTTCACACACTTTGAAAGAATATTCTCGCTTTCAATTTGTTGGCATTACAGTTGCATTCTGATATAGCAATTATCTTTTCATCACAGATGGTCAGGTTTTTGCTCAGATTCAAAATATGTCCTAGCACAAACAACTTGTACAATCATAGATACTTGCTTGTGTTGTTACTTGTGTCTGAGATTTATCATGAGTGAAATGTATGGACATGGCCTACTTTTGATGCTGTTGTTGAGTACTGACTGTAGTCATCTCAGGAAAAAGTGTTTTAGCCAAAGTGAGATTTTTACACCATTGAGAGAATCATAAATCATAAACACACACAGTTTAATGAATTAACCTATAACTACCATAATGTTATCCATGTTCAGCGATTTTGTATAGTTAGTGTGATGTCCTAGTTAAAAAAGAACAGAACTATTCCATTAACTTAACCATGGAACTACAGTATGATAAGCCAAAAATGTTGGTAATGTCACCAGCAATCTGAGGAAATCTGACATATTTCTGTAGCAGCAACTGACAGAAATTCACCAAATGAAAGCTATGCAAGGCCTTCAAATGATTTCAGATATCAAATAAATAATGCAGAGTTCTCAAAAATCACTGGACATGAACACACATGCTTATTAACTGCAGCCACCACAGAATACAAATCAGTCTACCTTGGAGAAAAACATGCTCCACTGGCGGAAAGAACACATCTCTGTCAACCCTTCAGTAAATTTAATTTGTGAAGAGACAAAAGGACAATGTTGTCAAATATGGCCTTAAAGAAACTTCAACTTTAAAGGTTAGATTCTGTGCATACTGTGCACATGGAGCTTGGTCTCCACCTACTGGCAAATAAAGTGATAAAGTGATGCCCCTTTAAAAAAAAAAAAGGAAAGGGGCCTCTATAATTTTACATCAAACATCAACAGGACAATGGTGAAACAGACAATGCACCCAAAATTTAATTTATTACACCTCCATATTTACTCCAGCCTTCAACAAAGTATGACATTCCTCAGGCTCAGTCTAGTGACACTGTCACAGGACATCAGCACATATATATTCACTGCAAAGATGTATAGTTATCTAGAAATAATAAAAAAAAATTAGTGTCTCAAAATTATTATGCCATTTAACACTAGTCAGATTAATTCTGGCAGCAGAAAACAGCTTTAAATCCCATCCAAAATAAATAAATAAATCCACAGAACAGCGTGTCAAAGTTAAGAATGGGTAAATATTTCACACTTCTAAGCTTATAACTTTATTCCGAAATTATATATCAGTTAATATCACTCAAAACTGCAAGTCTTTAACTTCTGTATTTTCATATTTAAGGCAGTTTTACAAGCACTGAATCATCCTTATCAACAACCAAAGGTTAAAAGCACAAACACTTTGCAAGCAGATCACCCCGTACCACATACTCCCAGAGCCACCATAACTTGTTAGGCAAGTAGCTAACTCTTTACACTTTTCTTTTACCCCTCTCCTGGCTCCTAGAACGTATATTTTACGATTTTTCAGCAAAGAAGATAAAACATGCTATTTCCTTTTTTTCTGTGAATGGCATAAGGAAACTATATTTGGATTACTCAAGATAAAATTAAAAATGTATGTGGAATAAGCACAGCAAGTCTAGCTGACAAAGCTATAGGGACTGAGATTAAGATTTACTCAAACTTTCTAACCAGAGATACACTTTCTAAAGCAATTACTAAGTCAACTGTATGAGCTTTTCTTTTGAACTATGTCACAGTGTAACTGTTGCAACCGAAATGTGGTTTCCAGGCAGTTTGTCCATTAAATGAATTAAATTACCAAAGGGGGACAGCCCAGCATTCAAGACTAAGCCTGCTGAATTATTCATCTTTTAAGTCTATAAAGCAAAGTTCTCATATAGGGGTGTCTATTCCAAGCTATAGATAGTAACAGAGAAAATCAATCTTGTATAAAAAAAAATTATATTTGTGTGTCTAGAGCACAATATACTGTGGCTCCTTGAATTCTGGCTCCACGTGCAGTGTTCATGGTCTGTGAAAGCCAATTTTCTGATGTCATTACACCAGTGAAAGTGGTTTCTTTGATTGGGCTGTCTGAGCAAAGAGACAGCTTGTCTTCCTTGCATTTGGCATTTCTGAACAGACGGCACATAACAGTGCTGCTGACAGGCACTTTAAGCCAACATCTGTTAGGAAACGTGTGATCTAGTGTCTTTGGCATGAGTGAATTTGCTATCGTCAAAAACAACAAAGTTGTGTTATACTTTAATATGACAATCATGAAAAAGCGTCAGTGACACTAATAGCTTTAAGTAAGAAATTTATCAGGAGTGATTCATGGAGACTAGACCTGCCCTCTCTCCTAGCAAGAGTCACACAGGATAAGTCTAAGATGCCTGACTGAATGCTCGACAAACCCACTGATGACACAAAACAGTACGCCACCAGCCAAAAAAATGTCTTGGAAAGTAATACTGTAGCTAGATTTCTGCAGAGAAAACTGGATTACTTGGTTATACAATCAACAGAATCATCAAAACTAACTAAATAAGCTGGGATGTTGGTATATACATTTTTATTTATTACACCCCCTAACAAGTGATGAGAAGAATAACCTGTACAATCTCAACATACCCAAACAGAGACAATAACACTCGATGCCTGTTGGTGGCATGTCAAAATTACAGCAGCTATGACCTTACTTGCCTGTAGATGGTGACATCCCTAAAACTCACTATCACAATCACTACAACAGGAGGAGTTGGTAACTAACGAATATTCACGTGCAACACCAATATATGCAAAGCAGAATATTTAATATATTAACTATTATATAACTAACTAACTATTATATAAACTATTGGTCCCCATGGGGCAATGAAGCACACTTATTATCACTGATCATAAACAGTATAAGTCAAGACACATTTTCAAATAAAAAGCCTAACTCAGAGAAAAGACATTCAAATAAAAGGCCGAACTCAGAGAAAAGACATATGGCATATAAGAGAAAGATTTTTTTTTTAATAAATAATCTAAATAATCTAAATCTAAATAATCTTTTAATAAATAATCTAATCTAAATAATCTTGTCAAAGTTAGATTTTTGTAAAATATTCATTTTTTATGTGCACACATCTAGACAGAATGCACTTACTGTAATATCCATACAGCACAGTATCTTCAATTTGTCCTCTTGTCTCATTGCTTGCTGCCCATTCCTGGATGTTATAAAAAGAAAAGTCCATGGAGAATATTAGACATTCATCGGTAAGATCAGAACAGGCATCAATTACATTGAACCTCATTAAAAATATAAGTATAAAAGAGTGTAATAATTAAAATCAGCACAGTTGTAGGTGAGATGTATTTTCTGGCTCCTGTATTAATTCAGTCACTTATTTAACATAATTATATAACTCTTCAAGACAGGTATGAACCAAAAACCAGAATACATAGATTAATGAATACATCCAAGACCCTGAAAAGAGGTAGGTCAGCCAAACTAACCAGTCAGCTCTATTAATGCTCTGGCCAATGTGTTTATCTAAGTTCACAAACTAAATTTAGACATAAATAGAAAATGACAGCTATAACTCAGAGTTTTGTCTAAAATCAGCTTTTATCATGCATAACACAGGTGTGGAAATTGTCCATCATAAACTAATAATAATAATGTTAAATTAAAAATGTAAGCTCAAATTATCTTTTCCCTCTAAAGCAATTATTACTTTTTTTTCTGTTTACACTTGTCAACCTTTATCAGGAAGCCACCACTTGCTTTCATGCTTTATTGCTAATTTGCTTTTATTATAAAGTACAATCACAAATTATGTATGTGAGGATAATGTTTCTGATTTGTTAATGACAGCTGGCCACGACTAAAAAAAGCTTTACGAATCAAAGCAGCTCACAACCCACACAAAGCATCAAATTACCTGCTGTTCAAATGAAGATATCATTACACACTTAGCTACACTTTCAAATAGATAGAAACAGATGCAATGACTCTGCAAAGCATTTATGAGCCAAGAAATGCATTCGACTTTTAGATAGGACAAAAACATGTCCGTACTGTCTGAGAAAATTACAAAGCAAAGTTAAATGCTGCCTCAGGAAAAGTCATTAGCATTTCTCAAATTGATTTTACTGGCAATGTTAGCAGAACAGATACCAACCTTGTAGGTACCATTGGGATACTTCATGAATGAAACAAGGAATATATCCACTGGTAGAAGAGCAGATGTTATCAGAGCTATGGCCAGTGCACATATTGCGGTAATAGTTGAAATAACTTCACTCTCCTGACGGCTTTGAAATTTGCGAATGTAGACCCAGCAGAAAGCCAGGATTACCTAAACAGAAACAAAAATTACTAATCAAGTCATAAATGGTTAGTCACACTATTATGATGAACAAGACAGCAAAATATTTCACCCAAGAAAGGTACATCAAATTTATAGAATCACCAAGAATATTTGTTTTGAACTTGTGAGTAATATATATATTTTTTTACTTTACCGCATGTATCTCAGAATGATAAGACTCATAAAGGCCATAATAACAGAATACATTCATAAAAGAGTGATTAAAGAGAGACACAAAGAGGCTGCAACAACTATTAATATAACAATCTAATACTAGTAATTAGTACTTCAGCTGGAACTTCATTATACTGTCTTCATGATTTTGCGTCCATCTAGGGCAGATTATCACCTCTTGGGAGCTCAAGTTTCAGTGTGTGTGTGTTTCTGACTGACAGAAAGAAATAATCAAACTAAAGTGGTAACACAGCAACACAACAATTACATACTGAGAACAGCCTGACTGGAAGTGCTATCCTCTTTAAGCATATAAATGAAAACAGACTCACTAATGCTAACAAGGCCTGACTGGAAATAATACAAAAGTGGCTTTTTATAATTAGCAGGATTAATGCATCTATTAGGATAAACAATTATGTACTACAGCTTCTTTTTTTTTTTTTGCAATTCTATGAAATAAATTCATAATTTTTCTCACTTATGGTGTTGCTGTTTAACATAAAAAAGACAAAAAAGAAAGAGATAGCCAATGTCATGATGACACTGTAACAAGTATTATAAAGCCCATTAGGCAGAAAAACAAAAGAGAGGCTCCAAGATAACAAGGTCATATTCCAGGCACACAAGATAAAAGTGAGGACACTGCTAAAACTAGTCCCTTCAGATCAAGAGCTGCCACTCCAGACAGGATCAATTAAAGGCCTGCAGCCTTAAGCCTCTAGCTGCTTGTTCTGCCAGGTAATGATGCCAGCTTTGCATCCAAATAAGCTCCATTAAAAGGTTTGTTTAAATTAAAGGACTGCTAGTGGAGGGTGAGACAAGCAAAGATGTTTAATGGAATGGCGTTTTTCTGGCAGGATTCTGATGCAGCCATGTGGATCTGAATGACAGCCGAGATAATAAGTGCTAGTTGGGTTACATTACCTAGCTGACCACTTTCAAGGCATTCATTACTGAAGTCACAGCCTCTAAATGTGTTTTTAAAATGCCTCACGGGAAGGGAATGGTTATATGTGTTTGCAATATCTGTGGTGAAAAGCAGTGTTTCCTTTTTTCGACAACACAAATTGTTTATATGCAGTACCGTAACCTATGTTAAAAGAGCGTGGTGTAAACTAGCTAACGTTACGTAATATCAGTTAGTTGACCAGGAAAAAAACCTAACCGGAAATATTTTTGTGTAGTACTGTAAACATATCGATATAGTGGTGTTTTACACTGCAACTGCTTCGAATGGTACCAACTAGCCATAAGCGGATACGAAATACGGTGAGTGCTTTCTACATGTCTGTAACTGTGTCATGCTAACGTTAGCTAAAACCAACTGTGACGTTAATTCACCGTAGGCATATTGCGCCGGGTTAACACAACACCCAGTCAAACTCTGCACCAACGACCGCAATTGTCTAACGCTCCACACCTTAATTAGGTGACTAGACGACTTCACACTTGCCTTACCAAAAGTATAAAGGTGAAAATTGACCACCCGAGAACAGGCTCGGAGAGCAACGACTGAGCCGCCATCTTCGCTTCCTGCAATAACAAACCCACGTGCTCTTGTTGACGTCACTACGGTGGGATTGGAGGGCAATGGGATGCCATCGAGCTCAGCGGCCGTGGGTCCATAAAACGTAGTGGAGTAGAACTGAAAAGCAAATTAAGATAGAAATACTCAAGTAATATTAATATTAAATGTTACAGCACTGTACCTGTAGGGATTAAATGTCTTACTACACCACTGCAGAGTTGGGCTATACTGAGAGGTACAATTATCTAATTATCTCCAGTATTCAATAAAACCAATTGACATTCACAGAATCTAGTGGTCAGTTGGAAAAGGAATGGCTCAATATCTGAGTGGGTATGTTGCATTCGAATTAATTTTACCCGACACTAATTTAACACCTGTGCCAACCAAAGTATAACTTGACCAGTCACATGGACACATTGCCTTACCTCAGATACTTCTGAGGCAATTGGACTATCCATTAGGCACATGACCTGACCATGATAGACGCAGGGCATTTAAGCTCACCTGGCTGGGAGATATTTATGAAATATGAAAATATAACATTTGTTTCCTTGTATACTTTTATATGTGCATCTCCATTTTCTCCCTTTTTAAAAATGCACAGACATACTAGTTTACAAATTACCGAATCCTAGTAGTAGCCTATAAATTACTGAAGGTCACTGTTAGCGTGTAGCGCACCTTTTGCTTTCCCATGTCAAAGGTCAAAGTGTTTTTTGTCATATGCACAGTTAGGAAACGTGTTTCCCTGTACAGTGAAATTCTTACTTTGCCGTCCACATGTATGACACAAAATACAAATGAAATATGAAGTAGATAAATAAGTAACACAAAATCTAAGGCACTTTAAGCAGCAAATGCAGCAATATAATAAGAATATATAAGAATATAATAAGAGAATGCATGCTGCATGAGAGCGGCATGTGCAGCAGTCAAGTCAATGTGCAATTATGCATGTGCAAACTGAGAATGTAAACAGTACAGGTCGACAGTACATGATGTATTTCCTGGTAATAAACTCCTCACCTGTGTAGGAGTTTGATGGCAGAGGGAAAGAAAGAGTTTTTCAGTCTGGAGGTCCTGCATTTCACACTTCTGAACCTCCGGCCAGAGGGTAGGAAGGCGAACAGTCCATGCTGGGGGTGGATGGGATCTTTGAGGATGGAGGCAGCTTTCCTACGCACCCTGCGGTGGTAAATGCTCTGCAGAGAGGGCAGTGGGGTCCTGGTGATCTTCTCCGCAGTCTTTACCACTCTCTGCAGGCGCTTGTGATCCATAGCAGTAGTGCTGCCATACCAGACAGTGATGCAGCTGGTCAAGATGCTCTCAATGATGCAGCTGTAGAAGTTGCTGAGGATCTTAGGCAACATGCCAAACCTCCTCAGCCTCCTCAGGAAGTACAGCCGCCGTTGGGCCTTCTTGACCAGCTGTGTGGTGTTATGTGTCCAAGTGAGGTCCTCACTGATGTAGACCCCCAGGTATTTGAAGCTGCTCACCCTCTCCACTTCGACCCCCCAAGTGAACAATGCCTGAGATCTCCTCTCCTTCCTCATGTCCACTATCATCTCCTTCATATTGTCCGTGTTAAGTCTAAGATTATTGTCCTTGCACCATGACACCAGACCAGCCACCTCCCTCCTATAGACTGCTTCGTCCCCGCCACTGATGCGACCTATCACTGTGTAAAGCCAGTCACTGAAGTAATACTTGCCATCAATTCTCCAGCACAGTGGCACACATCAGCAGACTATTGTCTTTGGTGCTGAAGGCAGTCTCATAGCTGATATAATAATATATTTCTAGTAAAATTCTATGACAATACTAATATTAGCACAGTTGTATGGAAGAGTGTCTTTTATGAAGAGCATTTCTGCTTCTTGTGCACTGCAATGGTTGTCTTCAGTTCTTTTTTCTTGGCTTTGGTCTCTAAAAATGTACATTTCCCTTGTGGTTTATGCCTCTTGCCTGTCTCTCTTCTTTGGTTTGCACAGTTTAACCAAAAATGTGACTCTGCAGGAATGTGAGAGGGGACATTAGTTCTTTTGGCAACAGCCTCTATGCCTTTACCCTCTGTGATTTACATCTGTGGCAGAGACTGGACTAATTCATATCATCAGCGAGTTCTGACACTGACTTTACTCTGCACTGTAACATAATATATGTTTGACATGTTTTCTTAAATTTCCAATATTTGTGAAACCAATATGTGTCATATAGATTGTAGAATCGTTTTCAATTTGCGTTTCATAATATAACCGAAATCAGTACTGTCAGATATTTCTGCTGCTATGCAAGAAACTTGTCAAGGTGTTTCTTCTTTTATCCTCTGCAGCTCCGTGACTAGAGAGCCAGTGAACTTCTAAAAGTAATTATATGATGTATATAAAAATGCATCAATAGCAATACCACTGACGTTTTCAAGAAAGGTAATTCTTAAGAGGTATGTGCTCCTGTGCCATTCAGCAGGGGATCCAAACTTATGCAGCAATGGGATTATATAAACCTTTCCAGACTCTATGTGAAGTGTAACAAACTGCTTGAGGTTTTTTTTTCTGTTTATGGAAAGGTTCTACCTATATGTCAAACACACTCACAATTCTCTTCAATCAGTATCAAATTTATCATATACGCAGACCCCATGGCATTGCTATATAAAGAACATACTATCTTTTTATTCTGCTTCCTTTTGCACAATTTCACGTGCATTGTGTCTAAGACGCCCTCTCCATTTATGAAGTATATTGTCCCTTAAATTACAACAGTCTGAGAGTGTGCAGTCATGCTTCATTATGTCTGGAATTATGGAGACAAAATTCAATTATTACTTGAGGAATTACTTTTGTAAGAGGTAGACTATAACAGTCCACAGTGACATTGAAACTCCAAGGTTTCTGAAAGTGACAATAATACTTCTCTATAATACTATATTGGGAAATATTTGTTTCTTACTAATCTGAATGAGGAACATTCTTTGACACTCTGAAATTCAGCTCACTAAAATCAATTCTCATAAATCTCAACTTTAAACATTTTAATTAAACTAATTTGTTCACAACTCATTATTCACTTGCACAGGGAATGTAAGTCGACATTCAACCTTTCAAACCTGCTAATGCCATTTATCAAGCAGTTTGGCAATGTGCCCCCATGGAAGGCATGTGGCAAAGTCTATTAAAATCTGAGTAAAAAGTGGGGAATTGTTTAGATTTCAAGGAAGGATTCTTGGAAAAGAGGACTTACATTTGACTGGTGAATATGCTATTTCTGTCCATTTAATTTTATATTAATACTATAATCAGTTGGAGGGGGTTGTTGCAGTGAGCAGAGCACACACTCATGTTATTCGCTCCCTATTTTCTCTAGAGAATGATAGCACTCTCACAGAAAAATTATAGCGTCACATCCACTTCTCGCCCACTTCCCTTTTTTCTCTGACATCCAAACCAGCTTTCTTACCCCAGCTGAAGAGCACAAGAGATGCTGCAGAAATAGTTCCAAGTTACTACAATAGCTGTGGCCTTGAAGTGCTTACTCCCTTATCAAATCTTCCCTTTTAATTTGGAAAATGAAAATGCAGTGTCACCATTTTATGAAGTTAACTCTCACTGACTCTGTGAGAAGGTAGGTGGAGCTCAGGCAACGAGCAGACAGCAACAAAGTACAGGGATTTCATTTAGATGTGAGAAAAGTGAATGTTTTTGACAATCTGTTGCATGCATCGATGGTTATAAGATACTCATCTTCATTACTGTATGTTCAGTAGCCTCACTGTAAACTCTAACCTTGACTATAGCACTTAGGGTGTGTATCATTTGCATGTGCAAACAGCATTTGATTATTTGATCATGTAGTTAGCCACTGTAGGTAAATTTATGTAAAATATCATGTCAGCTCAAGCTGCTGCTGAAAAGACACAATCCAATGTAAAGCGAGGACAGTGTGTTGTATAAACAGGAGATTGAAATGCACAAATACAAAATGACCAAATACAGTGCATAATGATATTGTTAAGTATTGAGTAAGATTGTGATTAGTTTTAAAAATTCTTACAAGACATATATATATATAAAATAAAAAATTAATTCAACTGACTTTCAGTGATTTTGAATTAAGTTTAATTTAAAATATGCATGTATGCTTCCTGCACTTGTATGCTCAACATTAAAACAGAACTGGTATCACAGCTGTCACCGACTGGTTAACTTTTCATAGATGGGTCAGTATAGCTGCAGGCCTAACTGACATGTTATTGCATCTTCTTTAGTCCTTTTTCTTTTTTGTCTACATTTTGGAAGCTTTCATGCTCAGGTGAGCTCCCAGAAATGATGAGTGAGTTAATGGGCTTTGTGATTTTTGTGACCACATGAAAGGTGCACATTAGTGGTTATGTCTGCATACAGATTAGTAGAACACAGTATGTGGTTTTTGTCTAATGCGCTGCCATTCTTTATGTCTTTTGAGAAAATGATCTTGTAAAGTGGACAGGTGTCCCTTCAACAACAGAGATTTCACTGCCACAATGAAAAATCAGAATGCAGTGATTAGTCTGTTTGTATTCAAGGCAAATAGCTACTTGCCCATAAAATGGTGTTTGCTGAGGTTGCGTATGTATATATCCATTACAAAAACAATGTAGAGGCACAGGCGCTCATGCATGCACATACACAAACATTCAAAGAGGAGAGTGCTTTTTTTGTTATACACTCCTTTGGCAGTTTATTAGGTACACCTGGCTAAAAGTAATGCAGTCTAATCCATCAGTCCTGCAGTAACTCCTCCCCCATCAAGGTGATGTGATGTTCAGTTTTTGTTCAAACTGTTTTAGAGAGCTGTTGGTTCACTTGTGTGGCCATTTGGAGGTTGTAGTTTGTGCTGCTGTTGAACTGTACTGCATTGTATAGAGAAGGATTTTTTGTTCATTGCAGTAGCCCACCCTCACTGATGTAAGTGGGGTGGACAACATAATAGAAATAACTATTTAAATGTTTAAATTCATATAACTGGAACATTCATAATGTCCCACACAAATAATGACTTGCCTCAAAAGGCTTTTATTTCCCCCTGCAATGTAACCGCCAAATAC